TACGCAAGACCTTTTTCAAAGCAACTCTTGATATTAATAACAGAGTTATAGATACAGTCATACAAAAAAGGCGAACAAGGATTTGTAGAGATTGACCTTCGTGGGAAGCATAAGAACCATCCGACTGTAGGCACTGAAATTAAGAACAGTATAAGGGAATTTATAAAAAATATACCAAAAGTCGAATCCCATTACTTACGCGCTCAAACAACACGCCAGTTCATAGAAAGCGGCAAAAGTATTGGAGATCTATACATGGACTATAAAAAATTGCGAGAATCTGATAATTTAACTCCTGGAAGTAGAACTATGTTCTACAGGATATTCAAAGAAGATTTTAATATTTAATTTTTTAGGCCAAAAAAAGATCAATGTGATCTCTGCCAATCGTTTTTAAATTCAGATGAAAATGAAAGAAATGATCTGAACGAAATTTACACTTTACATCAAGAAGAAAAGGAATTATGCAGAAAAGAAAAAGATCTGGACAAACAAAAATGCAATGTAGCTGTATACGATCTACAGGCAGTTCTTTCATTGCCAAAAGGATTTTCCTCAAGCTTCTATTATAAAAGTAAAATAAATTGTTATAATTTTACAATCAGTGACCTTAAAGCGAAAGTGGTAGATTGCTTTTTTGGACCGAAACCGAAGGAAAGCGTGGTTCAAATGAAATAGGAACATGCGTACTTTTATATATTGAAAATCTTGTACAAAAGTCAGTCAATGTTCAAGATTTTGACTTAACATTCTATTCCGACAACTGCTGTGGACAGCAAAAAAATAAATATATACTATCAATGTATTATTATGCGGTTCAGAAATACAATTTACGAAGCATTACACATAAATATTTAATTCAAGGCCACTCTCAAAATGAAGGAGATAACGTACATAGTGTAATAGAAAGACAAATAAAAAGACATTTAGGTAGCAAACCGATATATATACCAGATCAATATATCACGTTAATAGCAACCGCCAAAAAGACTGGTCCACCATACACAGTTCACGAATTATCGCATAATGAATTTTACGACCTGAAGTTACTACAAGAAGAATGGGGTCAAAAATTTTTTCTAAATGAGGCCAACCACAAAGTTAATTGGCGTAACATTAAAGTTCTACGCGTGGATAAGGACAACATTGACTCTTTTTTTTATAAAACGCCGTATAAGGACACAGAGTTTATAAAAGTCAATGTACAAAAAAACAACTTAAAGTCTACTGAATATTGGAATAGCTACAAGTAAGTTGTTTTTATATTACAAATAATAGAAAAATATTATTGTTTAGCTTTATGAATGTCTTTTCTTTTATACCCTGGTAATTGTTATAATTTTTCAGAATCAAATTTTGTATGTGCATATTTATACTATTGATGATTAACCCTTTTTCGTTCTGAAAACATAACTGATTTTTTGTAAATTTTTAATTATTTCAGCCTACGCCCTCTTTATTTGGAAAATTTGCCTTTATCAGAAGTTAAAAAACGAGATATAGGAGACCTGGTCAAAAAGAACATTATTCCAAAGAGTTTTTATGAGACATACTATAAAAACTTAATAGACACTTAATTTAAGTTTAATTCATTGATAATTTTTTTTTAATAAGCAATAACTTTTGTTTCGAATTACTGGAAATGAATAAATGTTAATAATTTTTATTAAACATCAATAAATTGGCATTCCTGTATTTTATAAATAATATTTATCAATTCTAGTGAGAATTTTCAGTTAAACAGAGACAACTCAAAATAACACCACTAGGTGTATAAAAAAATTTCAGGAAAAGAGTAACAACTCAAAAATTTGTTATTTTAGCGCAACTACTAAACAAATAAGAATGAAACAACCGTTATATTGTTTTTAATGATATTTTCGTGCAATTACATATTTTTTTCCTTGTAATATATTATTAATATTTACGGAAACAGTTTTTCGTCTCTACTGAAAATGTTCAGATTTTGAGTTGTTACGCTTTAACGTAACAAGTGCGATATGTTAAAACTATCAACAGATCTATGATTTTGTTCTCAGAGATAATGCCAACAGAGTATTGGGATTTCCTTTCACAAGCTGAAAGAATAAACAGTGTTACTTATGTACCTAGAACTGTGTTTGCCAGTGGTAATATTTGCGGTAATAAATTTTTCCGGCTACAAAATGTTCGGTAACATGTACAATACACCTGCCAGTTGGAAATTACTTGCTGCTAAATTTCCTAAAACTAATGAAACGATTATTTTTCTGCTTGACAGACGGGTAAAAAAAAATAAATTTGTTCCACAGCGCCACTAGTCGCATATTAAAAAAAAAAGTCGTTTCGGCGCCACCAGTGGAGTTCTGACAATCGCGATGCTAAATTTCCGTCGCCAAATCTGACAGATAGAGCGGCATGTAACTACTTGTTGCATGTTGTTAGGTGCCAGGCTATTTTTTTTGGCGATCAAAATTAGCGACAGCGAACGTTGCAATCCAGCTTCAAGAAAACAACTTGGTACAGCAAATTCTTAAAAAATTTGGAAAACAAATAACTACGAAAACATCCCATATAACGGCAATTTAAAGATATAGGCAATCGATAAATCAATAACTGCGATAAATCAGTATCTACTGAAGCTAATTTACTCAAACAGGTCTATTCTGCACGTTACCGAAAATTTTGTAACTGGAAAATTTTATCACCAAAAAATTTTACCGGTTCTTGTCACCGCGATTCTAGGTACGTTGGTAATGCAGTTAAAATATTCAGCAATTCAGCAATACTTGTTACCAGCTTATGAGATGGTAACAATATTTATGTTAATGTCCCAATGGTTTAAAAAATGACAGGAACTTTATTTACCGGTTTCAAACCGGAACCGCCCACTTACGACCATATATATATGTGTGTATCTCGGTAACCGTTCTTCAGTTTGTACCAAACTCGGCATAAGTATTGTACTTTACACAAAAAAGCAAGAAAGTTCTGCTGGAACAAAATTCTGATTTTCTTTAATTCTTCTATTTCAAATTCTGGTTTTGAAAGTTCCGAATTTCGAAATTCTGTCTCACAAAATTTTACTTTTTGCACTTTCGCCTTTCGAAATTCTGCTTTTGAAAGTTCCGCATTCTGAAATTCTGTATCACAAAATTCTACTATTCAAACTTTCGCCTTTCAAAACTTTGCCCCCACCATATTCGCATCTTTGGCTTAATCTACATTTAGGAAAAACGTTCTAAACGGCTTAAAAATCCGTTATACTTAGCGGAATGTATAAAAATTCTTAGAGCGTGTTTTTACAATTAAAAAAATAAACTTTTATTATCAATATATAAAACAATATTTTATTTTAGTAAGTTAAAATTTTTTATGCAATTCTCCCTTAAAAAAACTTTACTTAAGCCATTTCTTTTTTAATAGTTCTAAGCTGATTATCTTTTTAATTACTTGTTTTTTTCTCACTTTCTTTCTTCTTCTAAATTCAATACAAGATTATAAAACTGGGGATAGCTTTCTCCAACAACTAGTTTTAGCCGGCGATGCCACCCTTCGCCACTGTTTTGCGTTTTGGAAAATGTACCTGTTGCCGATGCATTGCTTTCGTGTACTGACCGAAACTAAGAAGAATATTTCGGGTTATAATTATTTCTAGTAATATAATTCTCGTCAAACCAATTCAAAATACTGAATTACAAAATTCGGTGTTATAATGTAAACCTCAGTATATCCAGTAAAAAAACTGTGGTGAAGTCCTTTATGGGGATAAAGTTTCCAGAGGTGAAATTTTAGGTAGTAAACAATTTCTTACTTGCATGGTTGCTTTTCAGCACTCATGAAAGAAACTTAAGAAATGTTTGAAAAAAAAGTTCATATAGTACATAAATTTTTGAAATAAATACCATATAATGTATGAACTCTGGTTAATAATATCAAAAAATGTATTAGAACCACCATTTAATGTTATATTTGATACAAATTAATATTGCTGCCCCGAACGCTCTGCGCCTTGCCACTGAATAATAGATTTACTTAAAATTACATCCCTGGTCCTTGTTCTTTCTGTATCGCATCGTGGTGAATTCACATTTCTCAGAAATTTGACAACAAAACAAAACAAAGCGAGTATTTTATTTGCTAATTTTTGCGATTTCTATTGTTTAATGTAAATTTGTCTTTTTAGGATATGTCGAGCCAACAAAGAAGGCGCAGTTGGAAAATTTAGTAATTAGTAATGAAGTAGCAGGCATATTTGGAAAATTATGCCGATAAACAGGATGGAATTTGGGAAAGTAAGTGTATGGTTGCAGCATATCATGTATAAAAAGTTTTTAATTAAATTGTTTATAGAAATGTTATAAATCGAGTGGCTCATTTACGATGTGCTCCAAACATTTGGCGAACTTTTTTTCGCCTTTTCAACGTGCTAAGTAACAAGTTAAGATGACTGCCATCATGGGCCGGTAAGAAACCGCAAGCAAAGGGCAGACAACCTTCCAGGAAGCTGCCTCCTGTCCCCGAGCCGAAGCTGCAGTTCAGCAAGAGCAGGTCAGCAAATTGCTACCCTGATCAAACGTAAACTAAAGCGCTCTGCTATGATTGCACTCCGCCGTGAGATGGTGTAACGATGTGTGGCAAAGAAATGCGGCCAATTCGACGGGCCTGAAAAATCCAAATTGGCTTTTGTGATCCGCATCCGCGGTATCAACAAAGTTGCACAAAAAGTGCGTAGTTTTACAGTTCTGTCTTCGCCACATTAAAACGGTGTGTTCATCAAATTGAGCAAGGCAACCATTAATA